TCTCTTCGTGCTTGGGTTTGTGTTTCTTGATTATAAATTTTCAAAAAAATCCTCCAATACTTGACTGAAATATTTCTGAAAAATTACATTTGGAGAAATGGATCAAAATAAAAAATGACTGGTAAGGTAAAATAAAAAATGATTAGAATTTAAAATTATTTATTATTAAAGTATGAAGATTATTATTAAGTTAAATCTCTCCTTTCTTGGATTTGTATTTTTTGATTATAAATTTTCAAAAAATCGTCCGATAATTGCCCGAAATATTTCTGAAAAATTACATTTGGAGAAATGGATCAAAGTAAAAAATGATTGCTAAGATAAATTAAAAAATGATTAGAATTTAAAATTATTTATTACTAAAGTATGAAGATTATTATTAAGCTAAATCTCTTCTCGCTTGAGTTTGTGTTTCTTGATTATAAATTTTCAAAAAATCTTCCAATAATTGCCCGAAATATTTCTGAAAAATTACATTTGGAGAAATGGATCAAAGTAAAAAATGATTGCTAAGATAAAATAAAAAATGATTAGAATTTAAAATTATTTATTATTAAAGTATGAAGATTATTATTAAGTTAAATCTCTCCTTTCTTGGATTTGTATTTTTTGATTATAAATTTTCAAAAAATCGTCCGATAATTGCCCGAAATATTTCTGAAAAATTACATTTGGAGAAATGGATCAAAGTAAAAAATGATTGCTAAGGTAAAATAAAAAATGATTAGAATTTAAAATTATTTATTACTAAAGTATGAAGATTATTATTAAGCTAAATCTCTTCTCGCTTGAGTTTGTGTTTCTTGATTATAAATTTTCAAAAAATCCTCCAATAATTGCCCGAAATTTCTGAAAAATTACATTTGGAGAAATGGATCAAAGTAAAAAATGATTGGTAAGATAAAATAAAAAATGATTAGAATTTAAAATTATTTATTACTAAAGTATGAAGATTATTATTAAGCTAAATCTCTTCTCGCTTGGGTTTGTGTTTCTTGATTATAAATTTTCAAAAAATTTTCCAATAATTGCCTGAAATATTTCTGAAAAATTACATTTGGAGAAATGGATCAAAGTAAAAAATAACTGGCAAGGTAAAATAAAAAATGATTAGAATTTAAAATTATTTGTTATTAAAGTATGAAGATTATTATTAAGCTAAATCTCTCCTCGCTTGGGTTTGTGTTTCTTGATTATAAATTTTCAAAAAATCCTCCAATAATTGCCCGAAATTTCTGAAAAATTACATTTGGAGAAATGGATCAAAGTAAAAAATGATTGGTAAGATAAAATAAAAAATGATTAGAATTTAAAATTATTTATTACTAAAGTATGAAGATTATTATTAAGCTAAATCTCTTCTCGCTTGGGTTTGTGTTTCTTGATTATAAATTTTCAAAAAATTTTCCAATAATTGCCTGAAATATTTCTGAAAAATTACATTTGGAGAAATGGATCAAAGTAAAAAATAACTGGCAAGGTAAAATAAAAAATGATTAGAATTTAAAATTATTTGTTATTAAAGTATGAAGATTATTATTAAGCTTAATCTCTCCTCGCTTGGGTTTGTGTTTCTTGATTATAAATTTTCAAAAAATCGTCCGACAATTGCCCGAAATATTTCTGAAAAATTGTTACATTTGGAGAAATGGATCAAAGAAAAAAAATGACCGATATAATGTTCACCCTTTAATTTAGCAGAAAAATTACGGAATATCTTATGATCGAAACTAATCGAATCGGGACATCGCGGGAATATTTTAGGAGGTCCGTCGTTGGTATTCGCGAAATGTTCGTAAATCAGCTCGGTTATGTCCTGTCGGATCTATCGTGCCAGGATGACGGGGAAGGTTCGAGGCACGCCACGCGGCAGAGAGGCCCGACCTATTAACTCAGAAATATATAAGATCACGGAAGCATATCGCGGAGGGAGTTGCGGAAAGTTATGCGATAGCGGCCGCTCACGAAGGTGTATACGGCCTCCGAGAGTGAAGTTAAATTACACGATGGATCCTCGACTTTTACGTCGGCGAAGGGGGTGGCCGAGGGGGAGGGGGAGGAAGAGAGGGCTATGAGAATTCTTTTATGTGCGAATTATATGAGACTCGGCGATATCGCCGCCGGTTGGCTTCTACGTGATCACATGGATAGAGATTCCTATCGGGCTCCTCGATTTCTCGTAACGTTCGTTACAGACATTTTTATAAATGCAAACTGCTCGGATACGATGCATTTATTTCTTCGCTTCGAGATGACAAAGGGCGACTCGCAATTTATAGACGCTTATTAATTCGATACCATTATTGTTTACTGGCAATACTCTCTTATTTATACAAGCTACATGAGAGATTTATTATTATTTAAACATTAATTAATTTAATTGAAATAAAATAATTCAATTCAAACGACTATTCTTATTTTAATTAAATATTTATGTACAATTACGAAATACAGTTTTTACGACAGACTCTCCTTCACCAGATTTATCATCACACGTTTTATATCTCTAGAGCCTCACTTATTGGATTATACTGGATCGAATATTATTATACACAAATATACGGTCTCCCTTTTTTCGTGTTGAATATTATGCCATAACACTGTTATTATCGCGCAATTTAGCTCGTATGGGTCGTCGTCTCTCGAGCTTGAATTTGCTTTTTGGAATAGCCTCTGCGATGCTTCAAGGCATTAATTAATACTTAATGGCACAATATCGCCGCATAATCGGCTCAGTTATATTGCATAAGGCATTACCGTAACAGCGTGGCCTAAAACCGCGACTTAATATCGCTAGACGTAGGTGATAGACCGCGATGCATTTCTTCATTGATGAGAGGATCATTCTCGATTGCTCGCCGCATGCTTGACAAGAGCGCATTTCACAGCCGTCGTCCTTAGCTTTATATCACGTAACCTTATGTAACACGAAGCGCGTTATTCATGGCGTTATCAAGTACCAAGAGTACTTGTCATGTAAACGAACGGAGTAAAGAATATTCTTCATCGAACAGGATCTTTGTCTGCTATTTTTGCTAAACGGTTAAGTGAAGCCTTGGGTCTTGAGCTTCCTTTCGAGTTTGATTAAAGATTTTTTTGAGCTATTGCAAATCGCTCGAATAATTTGCTCGTTTTCTTCTCAACTAGAAGAAGCCATTCTCTATGTGTTTTGTTTATGCTATAAATTATAGCTTTCTCTCTATTTAAAATTGATAGAAGCAACGTATTCATTAATTAATAAATAAAACAGGCGAATATAATTAAATTATTGCGATAATTTAACTTCATCAAACTTGCATAAATAAATAGGATTGATTTTGCAAAAACGTAATGCCAATAGGTGTAGCTCATTTCTATCAATCACCGTCAAAATTCAAGCATCCGATTCTACATTCGCCAAGAGCTACAAGTGCTTGCCGCCTGCTGGCTCTTTGAGATTATGTGAGACTTATTTGTATCGACGAAATCGGTTGGCACACCTCGAAATCACGCTTACACGTACACACTCACTTATCCCGGTCCCGAGTTTACCTTACTAGGTCTCTAGAAGTAGATTGCAGGATATTACTTTCCGACTTCGTGATCCTATGTCTGCCCCTTCCAGTTCAGCCAGTGTAATTCGCGAGTTTTAGGTCCGAAAGGAATGCAAAGCTTCATTTCGCTCCGGACGCGCTGTCAGGACGGCCTAAAATAGCGGCGCATTTCGCTATCCTGACGCCGGCATTAGATGTCAGGTTGGACGTTACAGATGGGCAATTAAAGTGTTACAACTTGCCCTCCGTGAAGTGCTTAGCACTGACGGAATGCGTCGGTGTTTACTGTAACGAGGGGGCATCCTTTCTTTTCACGCATAATTCAAGTCTTATCAGCGAGCTACTTGAGTTAGATCGATAAGAAAAGTATTTAAGCTTCTTATTGATTAAAAGAATAATGGTAATTTCCGAGAGCCATTTTTATCTTTAAAAATTAGAAATTATTAGATTCCTATTGGGTCTTGAAGACAAATTCCATCCAAATGTTCTTATTTCTGATGTATATTTTTTAAATATCGTCGGCAATAAATTATTTTGTTTAGAGTCTGTATACACTTAACAAATAGATTGACAGACCATTATGAATAATTTCCTTGGTTCCTTCGCAGACTTCTCGCGTTATTTCTGGTTACGAAGATACCAAGCAGCACGCGAAAGCACGGTAGATGTATCCGCATCAGTCAGGAGTCATGACGTGCGCCAGCAACAAGCGTGCAATTACTCGAAGAAACAAGGAGGTGTTTCGGTCTATCGGGCGTAAAATACGAGGGCGGGTTTAAAGGGAAGCGGCAGCGACCGTCCCCCGATTAGAGTGAAACGCCGCGCAAATAAACGGTTGAATTATACATTGTTAAGCGACGGACAGACCTGAAACGGTGTTGGCGGTGGTGGTCTATTTTTTGAAGGTGGCTCTCTTACGGAGAGGAAGAACGAGCACCTTTTGAATAAAACATATCCACCGGCGGGCATGTCCCGGAGTCTCCCGACTCATCCCTTTGCCTCATACAGACTCTCTCCGCATCTTCTTCCCTCTCCGCTTTCTCTTTTCTTTCATCCTGACAGTCTGCGGACGTTAAAAACGTCCGTCCGCTTTCGGACCACGTCACGTAGGAGGATAGGATCCATGCATTGGCGATAATGAGGTAAAGGCGATGCGGGAAACTTCTCTAACGAAGTTTCTCTAAGCGAGAAAGCCAAGTGTCACAGTCGCAAAGAGATCATCGTGTCAAATACTTGATTTTCTTTTTGAGAAAAATTCAAACTATCTCAAATGTGGAATTTAATCGAATCAATAAATTCCTTGTTTAATCTAATATACATTTGATATTTGTAGATCGATAAATCAAATCTCGATTGATAAATTTAGACTCGCCACTCTCTTGGATCAACCGTTGATTTGTCGAAACAATTCATCGCTGACAATAAAATGATAACCCGATTAATTTCTTTTCTCTTTTTTCCCCTCAGGCTCTGACAGCAAGTTGTCGGACGTTGACGGACAGCCCTACACAACGTTGTTGTACAGCAACGGTCCGGGTTATACGGATCCGCGGACTATCCTGCGGGAGGCTGGGAAGGATTCCATTCAGGTAAGGGAGGCCCATTCTCATTTCCGTACGCGCGGAAGGAAGGTAGTACGCCGGTGTTTATTGGATCGGGGAATGATCGAGTGGCGAAATCGAGGCCGCGCTCGAAAATCCATCACGTACTATCGCTGTACTGATCGTGAAATATTCCACCAAACACTTCCGACTGCCTCCACCCATCGATTTCCTCGAGGATCCTGAAATACCATGGTTAGACGGTGGAGACGCTGGAAATTTTTAATCTTCATCGTAAAATTAAAAGACAAAGTCTGCGTTGCGAGACATTTAAATTAATTTACAATGTGAATTTTATAAAAAATACACATATAATATAATGTGCAGAGATATACATACAATATTCTGTATTAAAATTCACATTGTGTGGAAGCTTCGAAACTTCTATTGAAATGATATAAATAATTTACATGATAATATATATAAAATAATTCCAAACAAAATTCACAAAGTTAATATTAATTAATTAATTATATATATTAAATCACTTGAAAGAGAAGGAATTGCGAGTATATACATATCGTGAACTTTATCGATAATTACTTTTTTGATAGAATTAATTTTGTAGTCTTTTAAATTTTTTCGAAAAAAGGTACAAAAGCGATGTTTTCAAATTAGAAAATTTGGAATAAAAAGGAATAATTTATAAAGAAAAATTGCAAGCAGGATATGAAATTTATACAAAAAAATTAATACATGTCATCTGGTTTATTTATTTTTATGTGTGGTGTGTGCTATATTTTATCTATAACTTATATACATATTTGTTACCTATATTTATGTATGTATCTGACAATTCTACCTGTACATTCCCGCAGTTATTGATTTAATCTCTTTCGCTGAAAATAGCTTTATGCGAATTTCTATTTATTCTTTCGATTGTACCATGTTATATCACGCGTACGTGTTCTCCGCAGAGATTTTCGTACAACGCGTATTTACATAAAAAGATTTGAATTTATATTAATCTGTAAACGAAAATAATTCACCGCGTATTTTAACAGCTATCCGCAATTTCTCGCATATAGTTTTATATTATTTAGTATTTACAATCTATCCGAGGGCAGAGATATCCGATATATTTACACTTCGGATATTCGACATCTGACTGAGTTACATCGCGAAACGCGAGGTACATCATTCTGTGCTTTTATTCATGCATCGCTTTACATTATCGCACAAAACACGTGTGTGTAATAATTTAGTCTCTGACATATGGATTCAAATAAATTTTACGTGCAAATCCTGCGCATTGTATATAATTATGGTATTTTAATTAAACTTAATATATAATACGCATATAAATATATGAAATTTACAAAATCTGTTAAAAAAACAAATTTTTTTTATAGAAAATTTTATTTTACAAATATTTAACATCGTAGAATAAATTGTACAGATAAAATACTAAATCTTATTTTTAAATTTAATTTAATAATTTAATTTAATTTAATAATTTAATTTAATAATTTTAATTGAAAGCTTTGTCAAGATATTTAATATTAAAAGTCGAAAAGTTACGAATATGACAATAGATTTTTATTTTATTAAAAAATGTTTATTATTATTATGATTTATTATTCATATTATTATTAATATATGTGACTAAACGTATCGTACATTTTCTGTACAATCGCATTTATTATCGTAAAGTTATTACAATATTCATGATATTAAAAATCCATCTCGTCGGGATCATATAGTAGCAATTGGCGCAATCTTCTCGGTTACAGTGCTCGAAATGCATTGAGAAAATTCGTTCTGAAGTTATAAGAATATCATCTGGCGGTGACTCTTGAGCATGATTTTATTCAATTTCTCGAAATGTCCCGTCAGAGTGAATCGTCATAAGCGGTAAGTGGTCGAGGAAGAAACTGATTAAAATCTGGATGGCTATTAGGACGATAAATTACGTTGACTACTTTCCTCACTCTTCGCTCACCAACGATCGTTACAGATTGCAAGTATAAAGCGCGGATATTTCATCACCTCATGTGAAATTGAAATGCAATAATCGTAATAGTTGGATATTGCGAAAATTCCGATACAGGATTATCTATTGTGATAGAAATGAAATGACTTGAATAAAATATCAAAGGCAGCTTAAATTAGGTTTGATTCAAATTTTACTGCAGCATTATTAAATAGTCACTTAAGTTAACTGCATTGTCCACATATGTATTTTAATTCAATGAAGCTTTTTTATAAAAGAAATATTTATTTCCATAAAAGAAATGTACATAAAAATAATATCACGTTCCAAATTATTTTATAAAATAACTATTTGACATTTTTTTTACAAAAGTTTGTTATAAAATTCTTTCATATTTTTTAAATCTCATTTATATATTTAAAAAAATAATATATTATAATATAATTAATTATATATTATAATTATATATTATATTATAATTATATATTATATCATAATTATACATTATATTATAATAATATAATATTATGTTATATAATAGTTATTAATAAATATACAAGAAGGCATTATTTTTATTTTTATGTTTAATCTAAGTTATTAATAAATATACAAGAAGGCATTATTTTTATTTTTATGTTTAATCTATTTAATTATAAAGAGAAATCAACAATCATGAAAAATGTTTTATTTGTCATTCAAAAATGCTATATAATTAGAATGACTGGAATAATTAGTAAATGTGTGATTAAAATTATACAGATCATACAATGGATAATTCATAAAGTCAGTTTTTAGGAATCATTTTACGTATATTTTTAGGAAATAATTGTCGCTATAAAATCTCTTGTTTTGTCAATGTACGATAACACGTTACGTTTGTTAAAATGTGTGCAATGCAAGAATCGAATGCACAGTTTGGACGAGAGAGATGCTTAAGATAATATCGTATAATACTGCCACGACAGTATCGTGCAGCTCTCGTCTGCGTTCGGTTGCATTTCTCCAAACTATTATGTAAAGGCAAATTCTCTCTCGCATAAATCGATATCTGGCGAAACAAGAAGCGGCCGTATTTTACATTGGGAGATTGCTTTCGTTTTACGAGAATGTGATTTACACGGTGAATGTCAGATATGCATTAAGCCCGTAAATCTGGATCTACGAAGTGGCATTAGTAGAGAATCTCATGACCATAATATGAAATAAACACGGTAAACGTGCAAGCGGCAATGATAAATAGCGACCTAATTTCCAATCAAAATTGTTTATCTCGAAAATATATATAGAATAATAGCTCAACCTCATCGTTTATTTCTGTAATCTTCATTTAAACGCATTGATAACAAAACATTGATTTGAAATAGCGATAAGAGAACATGCAAAACACAATCGTGATAATGATATTTGTGAGAGTTAATTCGAAATTTATTCTAAATTGAAAGAACCGAGGAAATTTTATCCAAGAAGCAAAATAATTGCAATTTAATATAAAAATAAATATTAAAATATAATTAGTATTAAATAAATGTAATTAATATTAATATTAATATTAAATAAATATAATATTAATTAATTATAATATTAATTTATATTATATTAATTATATTAATTATAATATTAAATATAATATCAATTAATATTAAATAAATATAATATTATTAAATAAATATAATAATATTAATAATTAATATTAAAATACGCGAGATACTTTCGAAGCTCAGTAGTTGGATTTTCGACTCGATATTTTCGCCGACAAAAAGGATTTCAAGACTTTGCAAAAGAGAACAAAATGACATCTGCGCTAATTTCGAGGCATCCTGCATAATAGTCACTATGTGCGATATAAATCAGAATATATTTAATTTATAAGAACATTCTACGATATTCCAACGCACATTTTATATGTACCGACATGATACAATAAAAAGCAGATAAAGCACGTTATTACCCACCTCGGTGATTTATGTCCGTAATTACACGCTAGGAGTTAATGCTTGAGATATCCAGGATGAATTAAATACTGTGCCGAGCTGATATCGAGCTATTTAGTAGACGTCGACTCTTCGCGTCCGTTCAAATTAATGAGAATGCAGCTTCAACTTCAATAATTCGCCGGTTCGCGATTTTTTCCTCGCTCGCACTACATGATGTATTACGTATCCTTGCATCTCCCTAAGTATAGTATAAATCAGATATTTTAAAACGGCTCTCTTCGCGTTCATTAGCGCAGACGAGAATTTTTGCCTTGTACAAAATGAGTGTTTTTCTTTTATTTTATCAACGTCCCAGCTTTATCTCGTAATGAAGACAAGAAACGTGGAATAAAGCAGAAATTTAAGAACTCGAAGAATGTTTTTTTAACATTTTTTTTCAAAAAATATAAGGAATTTTATATCATTATTATCACATCAAATGCAATTATTGATTTCAAAAATATAAATATAGGTTCTAAATTTCCTGCAAAACTAGCTCGCATGTCGATATATTTCCGCCCTCTTCTATATTGCAGATAAAATAAACATGTGTATAACGTTAAGTGGCCAATCCAATTTGCCGCAGCGTTAAATTCCTTGAATAAGTACAACGACTATCGTCATTATTGCTCTTATATCTGATTCTCAACGACTATCGTCATTATTGCTCTTATATCTGATTCTCTTGTTTGTTTCGCTATATGAGCGAGCATTTGGCTGTAGATTTTGTTGTCAGGAAATAAAGTTGCGCGAGGAACGTCTCGCTCCCCGCGGTATCTCGGGCTTTCGCGTTATCCGATAGAAACGGCGAGCTTACGAGGTACCACGATGGTAGATAACGTTCACCTCTTACGATATTTAACGCTTCTCTCCGACGGGGACTGTAATTCCTTAAGACGCCAGCTACGTCCTGTCCCGACTTAACCCGCCCAGTAAGGATGTTGCCTTACGCAATTATTGCCACTGGCAGGATTTTTCTCAGGGGGATGCGTGGCGGACGCGCCAGAAGGGCAGGAGGTTACAAGGACCCCGGCGGGATTTTTATTTGCTTATTTGGAACATGACTGTTTCGCCGTGTTTTAGTATTATTGCCTTACAACTATCTTGCGGAAAAGATTCTCTCGGAAAAGAGAGAGGATTCTTTTATTTTATTATTTGTGCTTTTTATACTTGTATCTTTACAAAGTACACTATAGATAGGTAACATATAATTTGACTTTACGCTATTATCTTGAAAATTCAACGAATGTAGCGCATCTCTTTGTATTTTCTTATCGAGAAATACCGAAGGATCTAGCGATACTCGTAGAATTTTAGAATTTCGATTAGTGAATATTTTTCTTAAAAACAATTTGCTTTCGACCTTAAATTTCGAAAAAATATACTTAACAAATATTAAATATTAAGAAATATTAACTAATGATATACTTCAATATTAAAATATCATTATTTAATATTATACTTAAATACTAAATATTATAAAATATTAAATATAATAAATCACAATCCATATTATTACTTTAATAGATAGAATAGGAACATTGATTATTGCATTAATATTATATATTATATTAATGCTTCTGTATTTTTTCCGTAAAGAAAAAAAGAAAAATATTGTATTTATTTTATTAATCATTTGACACAAAGATAAAGCTACATAATTCTGAAGCTTTCTTTTTTTGCGACGTCTATGGACGTTTATAAATCGGTTTCAAACTATACCTTTCTTCGACGAGAATTTTGCTCGCCAAAGAATATCTCGAATATTTGATGAGTTCGTAGAGGGAAAGTAAATAGGAAAAAGATAAAATATATTATCGCCACTAATTTTAACCATCTCTTCCTCATTCGTTGTCTCTCCTAAAGCATAGAGCTCGTCGTTCTCACCCTCATTGCGCAAAATCATTTCTTCCTTTCGGGTCGACCGCATGAAATACCTTAGCCTTTCATCTAATCGAAGTGAGATCGCGACAAAGGGTTCACGGTATCTCCGACGAAAAGGGAAATATTGTGAGAGAATTCTGCTACAGCAGCGCGTCTCATTTGACCCGCACAGCGGAACCGCAAGCTAAATAAAATGCGGAGAAGATCTGCAGTGGCGTAGTTGAAGTTCTCGGTGTTCTCTCTCACGAACCGGCTATTTTAATTTTATTCGCATTGTAATTTTATCCTTCTTTAATTCTAAACGTGCCATTTCCTTTAGAAGCGGTATAATTTTCAAGCAATACGCGTTTCGATGAAAAAGAAAACAGTATTTATTGACAGTCTTTATTTGTGCTTCTTACTTATAACGATTGCGTAAAAGAAATGCAAAAGGCAGTATAAATATAGTGAAAATATAAAATTGAATTAAATAATTTAATTCATCTAATTAGAATAAATAACTTAATTCAACAAACGATGATATAAGTATAAATTAGCGTCGATATCAGGCAAATTTTCTAAACTGGGAGACAGATATACTATTTTCAAATTAAGTTATCTATTGCATATTGTGTTGTAAATCATGAAGAAGCGAATTTTTTTTCAGCAAACAATTTTTAATTTCTATTTAAATACGGAATGTGCTTAAAAACTTCATCTCAAAAAATTCTCTTTACGGAAATGAATTTAAAAACCAGGTACTTAATCAAGGCTTTTCTCGTATGTTTCTTTTTTAAATTGCTAATCGCGTACAATGGCATATATAATCAAGGCTTTTCTCTCAAGTTTCTTTTTTAATTTGTTATATTTTAACTTTATTATTTAAATTTATTATTTAATTGCAATGGGACAATTTTTATTGATTTTTTAATATACGACTTTGATGTAGACACATTTTATTTTATTTTATTATATTATAAATTATAATTTTATTATAATTTTATTTTATTATAAATAAAAAAAGAAATATGTATGAAAAAAGCGTATATTGTTGTAATAGTTGTAAAAATCTGAATTGGTATTTTTATATGCGCAAATTATAGATGTATTTAAATTACGTATATTTCTGTGATAATTTCTCGCTGTAAAGATTAAAAAAAACTTGTTTCAATATAAAATGTAAAATACCATTAAGAACTGCTGTTTTATTGCCGTATGTTCTGTAGATATAACCGCAGTTATAAAGTCTCGATTCATTAAAAAATAATGCTCCACTACCCAGCAATCTACGGAACAGTTCTCTCGGGCGAAACGAAGAAACGGTCTTTAACACTCCTTTAAGATATTTAAAACAACATTTCTTTTCGCCGCAAATTATTGCGCGCATTGGGATATATACAGAGACGTGCTTAAATGTATGCTTTGACGAACGTTTTATCACTCTCATTAGAATAAAAATTCCAGAAATTCCACCCACATTTTTCTGCGATATTAATTAATACTTAATTAATTTTTTGCCGCATTGCCTTCATTTTTATGTAGAAAGGAATTGTAAATATAATTTTTCATCTCGCTTTCCCATTAAACTAAAAATGATTTGTTTTAATCGAGTAATTGATTGTCCAAGTAAAATTACTTTAAGTACGAATCAACAGTACTCTTATCAATCCTCGCGTGACGTCTATTACAGCCTATTCTTGCCTATTTTTAAACCGACGTCTTCCGCAAGCAAGAGAATAGATATACGCCCCGGAAACCCCGTGCAATCTCTCCCCCAGGTCTCGATTTAGGTACAATCGCACCTCACGACTATATAATTACAGACGGCGGGTGTGCCGAGGGCGTGGGCGACGCACGGCGGCGAAGATGTTCCGGTGTTCGCCATCGGGCCCCTAGCGAGCACCCTGTTCTCCGGCAGCGTCGACCAGAGCTACATCCCGCACGCGATCGCCTACGCCGCCTGCCTGGCCCATCACGCCAGCCGTTGCTCACGGGATCCTGCAGGCAGCAACGCCAGCGACACAATGAGCTCCGCGCCGATAAGCTGTCCCTCGGCGGAGCCCAACAGCGCGGCGATATCCAGCGACGTGATGAACGACCAGGCGCGAAATCAACCCCCGAAATCCGCCGGACCACGCTGTTCGCTGGCCGTCCCGTTGCTGCCGCTGCTACTGCCGCTGATGCTGATGACGATGACGTCCCCCGTTCTGCCGATTCTCCGGTGTCCCTTCGAAAGGACAAGTTAATGCGACCCACTTCCGCGTGTCCGAAACTGACGTCAGCGGTACACGACGTGTCGAGGAGCTACCTAAATACCTGGGCGCGGTAATAAACGGTCGATTGAGCGACCGCGGTGTAAATTTGACGGGACGGAACGACAACGAGAGTGGTCGTATCGAGAGCGAACCATGCGACATCGTCCCTCGCTGATGAACCGGATTAAACGGATCGTTTGCGCCGGCTACGATCAGAAAATCGAGTGTTGGTGCGCGCGATAGGATATAACGCATTTTCGGTAAGAAGAGACCTAGCCGAGATTCCTCGCGATGATCTTCTTGTCGTGAAGGGATGAAGGGAATGAAAGCGTATCTGGTATTCCTCGTAAAACTCGAGTCGATTTATAAATCGGATGTTGGGACGATTAGATCGATGTGCAATGTTGATGAGAACTAAAACGTCGTTGTGTATAATTTCTAAATTTTCTTGTGTATTTTTGTTTCTTTGTTGCGACTACTTGTATTATACTTCACGGAAGTTTAATTGATGCACGTTCTTGTCTGAGGTCACCTAAAGATTTTATAAATTTTCCGCTAATGGCTGAAGCTTCTCCAATGAACTGGAAGAGCTTTAATAAGGAGATTGGAAGCGGAGCTTTTTGCTCGCTTACTTTATTTCAAAGTTTAAGGGAATTTATATTTTTTGACATATTTTAATATTTTTATTTTCTATTGATTATATTAGTTGTGTTTGATAAGAAACATTTTCATCCCTTTATTTTTTCTAAAAAATATAATTCCTGTATAAGAAGGTTCATCATCAGTCAACTTTGTGAAATATTTCGAAATTATTGCTACCTTTTTTTTAATTATTTTTAATTATTATGAATTTTTGATTAATTTAAAAGCTAATATTTTTTCATAAAAATCAAGGTCCTGCTAAAGAGATAAAAAAATTTGATAGAAAATTCATTTGAAATTAACTACATCTTTTTTCCGAAAAATAATTGTATTATGAAATTTATGTTGAGAACGTTGAACTAGATTTTTATCAAATTAAACGATACAATGCTCTTGACACGATTGGCGTTCTTTGCTAAAAGAAATAAACTGATTTCGATCTACAAATAATAAGGACTCTGGAAATGAAAGATGGTTATCTCTTACCGTATATTTCTTTACCTATCTCTCGAGGGCCGAATTACGTAATTTTCGAAAAATATATCTCTCGCCTCGAAATGCGGTAGCATTTCTTACAACGAATCGAGTAATAACGCGGCCTCGCTGATCCGATAAACCAAATATGAATAATGGCCGTAATAAATATACATAAAGTAACTCTCGAATATTTCGAGAGTTTAAACTAAATCATAAAATGTAAATATATATATTAGGAGTAACGCAGCAATGTGTATAAATATCTTGAGGCAGCGTGTTTTCGCATCGAATCATGTAAATTACGGATAGCATTTAATCACCGAATCGAGACGGGAGATTCTTTGTTCCTGCGTACATTGATATCCCAATTCTCGTCACGTTCACGTCTGTTTCACTTTTACACTTGGTGCACACGGTCATTTCGAATTGGACCAGAAAGAGGTATTCATATTACGTAATTAACAATCTTTGACAAATCTTATTTTAGCACCGAGCAGTTGAAAGAAAAAATAATGAATTTTTTCACGTGTATCACACCACGCTTGACACTTGTACCACTTTCATTTCGTGCCTCTCGTGACGCAGATTAGTTTCTAGGAGCAACTTTGTCACGGCAGAACTTGAAACAGGAATTAGAGAGTCGCGCACTTTGTTTAACTCAATTAGTCAAAACAAATCGTCACAAATCTCTCAGATTTGTCCGTTTTCGGGGGTGAGTGTATAACTGAATAATCCACCCCCACTTGTCTTTCGAAGCACATGCTTAATGTACAGTGCCGCACGAGAAAATCCGCCGAGGTGCGGCTCTCATGTATTTGTGACAAGTATCGAAGGAATTGCAGCTGCGAGTTGAGAGAGTTGAATCCTCTTTGCTATTCAATCTGAAATTTGTTATCGCGAGAAACGCTCTCAACCCCGAGAGTTTCCATTTCTACTTTTAATGAGGCGATACGAGTTTTATAGAGCGTTACGTGCGTGTTTGCGAACGCTATTTGCCTTTTTACGTGACTTAATCGTGGCTTTGATTCACGGTCCCTCTGTAAATTGGCGAACTAATTGCGCCAACAAATTGCACTGTTTCAGTTCTCTTCCAGCTGGTGGATGTTAATGAAGTTAATGAACCATGCGTGAAAAAATAGAAACACGTACCGTTCCTCTGAAATGCGAAAGATACCTTGCATACGGATATTCGAGAAATATTTGAAATTCGATTTCTTTTGTCTACTATTTCGCAGAGATTATGCATAAAAATCGTCTCAATAATACATATGACTTATTTTAGCAATAAATATATAAACGAAATGATTATAATTGATTTACATTATTTTTTTATTAATGAATTCATCGGATTTAATTTATCTAATTTATCTCCTGTCAAAAATATACATGGACAATTTATGTAGAAAGAAGTAATTTAATATTTTTCGAATTTTATTTTTATTTTATTTTATTTTTATAATAATATTTTATTAATAATTTTCATTTATTCTTATAATAATATTTCAATACTGTAATGCTTTTATTTTCGCTTTCATCTATTTTTGCTTTCACTTTCATGAATTGTAACCTGCGCATTTTTCGAACAATAATTATTATCATTTCTATTCATTATATTTTTATAATTTCTATTCTATTTTTATAATTTTTATAATTTCTATTCACTTGATATATGATCCTTTTATAAAGTATATATAAGTTTTTGAGTGTTTAGACATTTTTATAGCAGAGTTTGGCAAAAATTATTGAATAAAAATAATTACAATGCAACAAATTACTATTTAATAAAAATAGCGAACAATACATCTTTATTTCGGAATTTTTTATTTATACACATCCGCCGTTGATCTCGAAATGATGAAATCAGTCTCGAACGTTGTAAAAAAAAAATCGAAAGTAATATTTTAATAAATGGCGATCTCAAAATAGCGATGGAGTTTTTTTTAAACGTCGATAGGTACTTTGGCGGAATAAATTGGCAGTGTATATCTTTCGAAACGATGTCGTTCTTATATATCGCGCATAAAAAGCGGCGCTACGTAAATCTTGCCGCGTGCGCATTACCTCGGTTTATAGATGAACACCATAAAATAGTTATACCATTTAACGGCAACGAATAGCCGAGAACGCCATGGTCCAGAGAACGAACGGAATTCACATCCGAGATCGACTTGTTATCCTTGACGCGAACGACGAGAGATTCACGCGACGATTACGGGTTTCATGATCCAGTCATGGGGTTTAATTGCAAACGCGAACGTGAGCGAAATAAGGAAACTATAAGGGACGATATATTATCGGTTATGCGTCATTTATCCGACGAGATCGGGAAAACATCAGAATGCGTCCATGTGAGACTTCGACGAAAAACTAAACTTGTTTAGTTGCTGACTGCATCAGTCTCTCGTTTTTTGAATTTAATTATATAACGTTTTTTATTTGTGACTCGTGATGGTTTTTACAAGCGCTATGTTTGCCTCCTGATTATTATATTTCATCATATATACTTGATAAGGACCACAACCATATGGTCGAAACGTCGTATTAAATAAAGGAAATTTCTGGCTAGTTTGGTCGAATATAATTTTTTCAATAATCCTTTGATTATTCGACTAGCGATTATACCTTTTCTACATTTATTAAAATTTATGAAGATTTTAATTCCATGGCATATAATTTCTTAAGATGCTTAATATTAAAATTTTAAAAAGACTATAATGTTATAACATTCAACTACATATACTTTGGCAAAAAAAATGATTTCAATTCTCTAAGAAATTTTTAATTTTAATTTTATTTTTAATTTAAACCTCAATTTTATTTTTTTTAAATAATAAACCTTATTTTTCAATTAATTCAGAGATGTTATAAAACTTCTGAAAAATATATCAAGCATCTAAATCTTAATTGCAAATAAAAATATGTATAGGACGGTAATTCTGTTTTTTTATGCATTTTCAATGACTTGAAATATTCAATTATCCGAATGCAAGATATCGAGTAAAGAGAATTTATCGATCGTTATATAAAAATTGAATGCGCAAATATTGCGAGGTGATTGTAACGAGCGTAAAAAGGGACAAAACGTTCCGCTAACAAAATATTATATAGAACGAAGGTACTTGCGAATTACGTCGCATCTTGTTAAATGCTTCGTACAATTCGACGCTAAATACCTCTGACTTGCATTTGCACCGTTTAAAACTGAAGTAGAAGTTTAATCTAGGAAATTGCTAACAAGTGCGTATTTTAGTTGCCCTTAGTTGCCCCTAGGCTGTGAATTGCGAATTACGAATAATTTAAACTTTAAATCGAGGCAGTGTAGAACCACATTTGCTATAAAATTGTCATAATGCGCTACTATTTCACAAGTTTTTTAGTGTGGGATCATAAAAGATTTTGACGGTGCCCGACAACAAGAATATATTACAACACACAGAGCTAATTTTTGTAAAATTTAAAAAGATATTTTTTACTAATTATTGTCTCGCATAAAAATAACAAGAATACTTTATTTATTAACATTTAAATATGCATATGATATAATAATGATGTTGATAAATTTAATATGATTGCAATATAGAATGTTAAATGTTATAACTTAAAATATGAATTTAAGATTTTAAAATTTAAATAAGAAAATGTATCTAAAGATATGCTCCAAAACACTTTGTTCAAGAGATATTGACAGTTAAGCATTTCTTTTGAATATAATTTTTTCATGGAATTATTATCAGATTATAGTAAATAAATTTATAGTATGTTTAACTACTTTATTATTGGAAAATATAAGAATTCCAAAACATAATTATAGAAATTATTGATATTAATAACTAAACAAAAAAATATAATTCTATTTATCATATTTCTTACTTATAATTTTAAATACCAATATCCCTTAAACAGGCATTTACGGACATATCTAACAAAACTTCCTTATTTTGAAGTTCTAAATTTATATTTAAAATTAGGACGCTTATAATCTTGAAATATATAATTACAGCATATAAATTTCATTTTCTGATTAAAAACGCTTTTATTGCCAATCATCGGATTTTGATTAATCTGAATGAGAAGTAAATGAAAATGCATCGATGCAACACATAATCCGAAATATTTATCACGAATATGTGATACGTGATTCAACATCCAGACCGAGCTTACACTTTGCTTAGAGTTTTAACGATGAATCACGTGAGACCAAATCACGACAAGGAAACGAGAGATTACACGACTTCGATCTTATATATTTCTGTAAAAAACGTCAAACACGAATTATTACGAATGTAATTTACTATAGATATCTGTATACTATTGTTTTATAAAAAAAAAGAAGAAACCAAACCTAGCGAGAACATTTCGTGAACCTCTCTCTCTTTTTATAAATCCCATCCTTCCTTTTCTCGTGTTTTAGTCTTAATAAAAAATAAAGTCAAATAAACTTGGTTGATAAAATGCACAGAATGCAAATTTATGAGAACAACATATTAGCATTAAGAAATTAATAAATAATTGATGAATGAGCGCATTATATGCTTGTATATAATATAATTAAGAAAAAATTACATCATACTTTATATTATGTATATCACATACATATATATAATTAAAACAGAATATCGTATCGTACAATTCACAATAATAAATTTGTTTCTCAAATCATGATA